GCTTTTTGGACCAGCAATGACCAATGTAAGAAAAGTAAACTCTGGTCGCATGCACATCTCTGGTGGCAAATTATAAACAATTAAAAAAACTGGCCAACAAGAGTAGGAGGTTGAAGAATGAGCCCATGGGTTGAAACCATCAGTAGCAAGACCTGATTGAACAGTACGAGGTTCTCTTTTAAAAGAAGGATGCATTTGATCAAAATGTCTTCCTGCTTCTGATTGTGTTGGATGAATGACCTCATCCATATCACCACAACATTTCAAATGCCATGTCATGTGCTCAGCTATTTTTCGAGACATGTACAGCCTCTGAAGGTGAGGTATTATTGGCAAGTACCAAAGAAAATTCCTCGGAATGTCCTTTTGTCTATTCCTCCCTGGATTTCTCTATTTATACCTCACTTCTCCACAAATTGGACATGTAGTCAATGTTTTCGTATGCTCCCCATAGTATAAAAAGCAGTTGTTAACACAAGCATCAATTTTTAGATAACCTAACCCAAGCCCCTTCATATATTTTTTTACTTCATAAAAGTTTGAAGGAACTTTTTCTTGATCTTTAGCACTTAACAACCTTCTACATCCTTTGAGAATGACATTAAAACCATTAGCAGTTATATTATTTGCAGTCTTTGTATGCAACATATAAGAAAGCCAGCTAAGTACTGTCTCATTTCTTTTAGCACTACCAAGTGGAATTGTAAATGCATGAAGCAAGTCATAAAATGCCTTTGCTTGATTGTTTGGTTCCTTGTCCAAATGTTGATTGGGGAAATTACCTTCCATTTCCTGATTATCATCATCCTTTGGACAAAATGCATCATACACCATTTCACGAAAGTCATTCCTTTCATCATGGTGTGTATCTTGGCTATGTGATGATTCTCCCAGATTAGTAGCAGACCATGGATCTACTGAATTCACAAATGTCTCACCATGTGCCCACCAAACAGAATAAGCATTCATAAAGCCATACTTAGTAAGATGGTCCCATACCATTTCCCTAGTCATCAACGATAAATTAAAACATTTAGTACAAGGACATCTGATTAAATCATTCGGTTGAAGACCAAGGCTATTGTATGCAAATTGAAGGACATATTTAATTCTACTATAGAACTCATTATATATCTCTCCTCGTGGAGTTCGACGCCTATACATCCAACTACAATCCTCTATAACCTTATTAAATCAATAAAATAAAATTAATAACATGATTAGTTTCAAAATAATTATGATATCTTTCACATATTTTCTAGTTGGTTAAAATCCTAATTTATCATATATCTATAAATATGTTAAATTTAATCATCAACAAAATTTATCATACACAAATGATTAATTTTTTATTTAATAAAAAAATTAATATTTAATTATACAATTATAAAAATATAGTGAAAATGAAACTTACTTTGTAATTGATGAAGATCCAGAAGAGCTCAAGTATATTAACCTACAAAATAATTATTAAAATATTAATTTATATATATTTTTTCAATTAAAAATTTCTTTATATATACCATTAAATTAAAAAAAATTACATTTCAAATTAATATAATATAACTTTAAGTAGATACAACAACAAAATAAGATCAATTATTAAATTGCTAAAAAGTTAAGTTGAAATACCAAATTTAGTCCCTAATATTTTAAATTTATATCAAAATTATCCTAAACTTTAAAAATACCAAAACTATCCCTAAACTTTAATATTCAATATCAAAATAGTACTTATCTCAACGTGTTACTTGATATTCATTATTTTGCCACAAAATCAATTTCTTTTTCAAAAATTAATAAAATCAAATCAAATAATTATATTTTACTATCATGATATATTTTTCCAATTGTATTTATAAAGTTGAATAAGTAAATTAGTACTTATAATCAAAGTTTTAAGGTCTAAGTCTTCAAATGTTAAGGACTAAATTGATATTAAACAAAAGTTCAGGGATTATTTTGGTTCCAAAAATTAAAGTTTAAGGACATTTTTAGTACTTTTTAAAGTTTTGGAATAAGTTTGACCTAAATCAAAAAGTTGAGGGATTAACATGGTTATTTAACCAAAAAATTTAGGTCCTTCAACTTTAAAATTTACATACTTTTCATCCCTCAACTTTTTAAATATTTTTTTTAATCTTTAACTATGAAAAATATAATGTTTTATAGTTAATTAAAGATACGAAATGCAGAAAACGGTAAGACATGAAAATTTGCCCATATAAAACCTTCAAAACTCACAACAATCATATATATTCACCCTAAAATATACTCAAAACAACAAATTTGAAAATGCCAGCTAATATCAAATACTTAATATAAAAATTGTCATTAATGGTTGAAATTTCACTAAAAATTTATAAAAACATTATTCATAACTATTCATCAAATTTATCTGAAAGAAAATTTAAAAATATTAATTAATATCTAATGAACTAATTAATAATAATATTTAACGGTTTAAATTTCAGAAAAAAATAAAATATACATAAAATATATAAAAAATAATAATACTACTTAAATTTTACTTACCACTGCTTGATCCACTAGACTGCAAGAAGAAAAATGTGTTAAAGTACTTCAAAGGGAAGAATTGAGGAAAGGGAGCAAGAACAACTCGCGGGACAAGAGGAAAATGAAAATGAAAGGAGAAAAACCAAAATGAAAGCAGAAGGGCGGGTTGGCAAGGCAATAAGGAAACTTACCAACGAAACCCACATTGCTACAGTCTAAAGTTGATCATCACTGCGTTGCATCAGGATTCTCGTTGACCGGGCCAATCACTGACGAACATGAAGTTGGCAATGCATATATTACTAACCTATATCTTATCGGTAAGGAAAATAAAAGCTGCAACACCAGTGGCCAGCAGCCAGATTCACAGGGAGTTGCTGAATGGCAAATTACCGACAAGCATTATGTTGAAAATTTTCATCAAAAAGCTGCACTCCTTGACACAGGCAGGCAACCAGCTGGTTGGCGGGGGTGCATTGGGAGTGGAAATTACCAAGAAGATGAACATTGGAAATTGATCCTTAATTACCGACGAGACTATCGTTCCAAAATTAAATTTACAGGCATGCTTCTCGTCGGTGATGTGCCTTTTCATCCTTCCCCCATCGGCCAGAGTGGTGGCTACAATTACCGACAATTAACACGTATGTATGACCTTAAATTACCGACAAGTGTTATGTTTGTACAATAAATAATATATCTTACTGGTTTGTACAATAAATAATATATCTTACTGGCATTTCTACTGTTTCTCATGTTGCAGACTTAATTCTTATCGGTAAAATGATGCTTCACCGAGAAAACTTCTTACCTCGGTGATATGTGGTTGGTGAAGCTAGGTTTTCTTGTAGTGATAAGATCATTGCTTGTTATCTTGGTAAGGTTAACAAGGTTGCAGATTCTTTGAGTATAAAGTTCTTATATAGTTTACCATATTCGGTTACTAAAAGGAGTTGTTTTAAGGGGATTAGATAAATATGAAAGTTAGATTATGAACATGTTTGGGTAAACTCTTAACTGCTTATAAGTGTAGCTTAGCCAATAAAGAACATTAGAACTTCACATGTAGAATAATGATTTGCCTGAGAAAGGAATTAGTTGGAGACATGATTTAAAATGGTGCTTACCTAGAATTATGGTAATAATTCGTTCAAGGATGGTGAATTTGGTTATCATTAATAGGTTGATTAAGTTTGCTGATTTTCTTCACATCAATATTGGCATGTTAATAGAATAGACTGGTAGAGTAATATGATAATATTGGCATGTCACTAGATAGACTGGTAGAGTATCATGATAAGGAAATAGGAAGAATTATTGTATTGATCAGTTAATTTATCTTGTGATTTTAAGGAATTAACGAACAAGATTTAGTGAAATTAAGGTTTGAGGTTTAAAATTATGATGAATTATTTCTTTGAGTAGTGGTAAATGATTTTGGTTGATTTATGACTTAGCAAAGTTTAGAAATTGTGATAATGAATTGGAGTGGGATTAATTTAAGTTGTTATGCAAAGACTAATTTGTAGTACCCGTAAGATCTTATGATTGATTGATGAGTTATTCATGAAAATCTAGAAAACCATGAGACTGCCGTTATTTTAGGAGGATGATTGAAAAGGAAATTGTCACGCCCCAGAACCCAAATCCAAGGCGCAACAAACGCCATACACTCGTGAGAGGATCCCATGAATGCACAAGGCTCGGAACTTAATCATATCACAATTTGATACCACAAAATCTGAAGATAAAATTTTAAAATTGCTCTGATATCATAAAATCTCCAGATACAATCTAACTTACAAGATCGTGATTTATATCTAAATTCTATATCAATCTCGAAATGGCTAGCCTTCTAACTCGTCACTTCTCGTGGTTTCCCCGTCCTCGGTTTCGCTTCCTAAAATGGTGGACAAGGAAAAACTATGAGGTAAACTCAGTAAGTAAAATATGGAGAGCCCTTAATTAAACTTATAACATGCTAACAAGTGTAATCACGAAAAAAACGGTTACAGTACAGGAGCAAAATAGATGTCTCCTCTATCGGTCATGGCCAGTGTTTAAACCTCCCACTGGCAGGCTACACTTGAATGAACCGGTTCTATCAATAACATGTCGACATGTGCTAGCGTTTAACCCCCACTAGCAGGATCATTAATAACATAACCACATCGGAGACAAAACAGGCAAAAGTTAACAGAAAAATCATAATTCACCAATCACTTTCAAATCATCAGGACAATCAATTAAATTTCAAGTAGGCATGCTCGATTTAATGAAAAGCATAAAAATTTCACTTCAAATCAGTCATACTTACTTTTGTATAAAACGGGTTTAGTCCCACCACCACTTCAAAAACAAGTCAAAACATGCTTTTAAAAATTGTACGGGCATTATTATAAATTTACTTACCTCACTCGCATAAACCGAAGATTCAATACCAGTGCTCGGGTGACAGAACACTCAAGAACCTAATCAAGATACCCCAGAATTAATATCGTACCATCATAAATTCAAAGTGAAACTTCATTAGGATCACCCCTAATCACGATACTATTCCTATCAATCTTCACATTTGTTCTTATATCACAAACTAAACATTTAATCCCCGTTAATTGTTGACCCTCGGTGTGTGAACAGTAATCTGTGACCAGTGCCGTGAACAGTGCCAATGAACAGTACACCACGACATGAACAATAACTGCACTTCAAAAAATTGGCCAAAACACTAGCTAATTCACGGGATTGTTCTCCAAAATCTCACAACAGTTAATTAACACTCAATCACATAAATTCCACTTGAATCAATGCTTAAACTTTATCCTAAAGCTACCGGAATTCCCCCATTTTTCCAGCACAATTCGGACACACAAGGCAGCAAATAAATGGACAAATTCAGGGCTTGGAGGGGCTGTCAACATACTAGAATTCTCCAGCTAAAACCGGAGCTGCAGTTGGGGAAGTTGCCAGCGGGAATTTGGAGAAGAAGCTCACGGCCTACCTCAAAATTGAGGGAAATAAAAAGACATTAGAATAACCCAACTTAAATCAAAGCTAAAAGGATGAAATCATGGCTGTTCTTACCGAAAAAATGCCCAGAAATCACCCACCCACATAGCAGCCAACAGTGAAGACAAAGCAGAGTAGATCTGGAAATTTTCTCTGCAAGGGGAGAAGGTTTTAAGGCTCCAATCTGGTTTTCGAACAAGAAAAGAAAGGCAAAAACCAAGCCTCTTACCGGTTTTCTCAAGAAGAAAGGCGTAGGGGCTGGGCTTCTTTTGTTCGGCTGCAGGGGGGGTCGGGAAGAGCAGAAGCACATGGGATGAGGAAGAAAGAAAGAAGGAAAAAAAAAAAGAAATAAGCCATCCTTATCCAAATTTCCCTCTTTAAGTCCCTCGAGTTTCAAAATTTTTACTATTAAATCCTATAATAATATTTTCTCCAAAATAAGTCCCTAACTTATATAATAATATTCCCAAAATTTTGGGATATTACAGAAATTATAAAGAAGGCATGGCATAACTCTTGTGAAGTTGTAGTAGAGTACCCATAACGAGAAGGGAACAACATAAAAGTTGGATGAGGAATGAGGAAATGAAAAAGAAATATCGAGAGTTGTTCATAGACATGTTGAGAGCTTATGTTTTAGATTTGAAAGGTTCTTGGGATGAACATTGCCTTTAGTTGAGTTTGCCTACAATAATGGTTATTAGATAAGTATCCAGAGGGTGCCTTATGAGGCTTTATATGGTAGGAAATGTAGGTCTCCAATATGTTGGGATGATGTGGGAGAAAGAAGAATGTTAAGATCAGAACTTGTTCTGCAGATCATAAAGAAGATACAATTAATTAGAGAACGTCTTCGTATAGCCCAAAGTAGGCAAAAGAGTTATGTTGATAATCAGAGGTGTGATTTAGAATTTCAAGTGGGAGAAAAGGTTTTCTTGAAAGTTTCACCAACTAGAGGAGTCATGAGATTTGGGATCCGAGGAAAACTTAGTCAGTTTATTGGTCCTTTTGAGATTTTAGAGAGAGTTGGAGAGTTAGCATATAGATTAGCACTGCCACCTAATTTGTCGGAAGTTCATAATGTTTTCCATGTCTCCATGTTAAGGAAATATGTTTCAGACCCTAGCCATGTAATTGAGCATTCTCCACTTCAACTCAAAGCAGATTTGTCTTATAAGGAGCATTCAATTCGCATTGTGGATAGGAAGGAGCAAGTGTTGAGAAGGTGTACCAGTCCCTATGTTAAGATCTAGTGGAGTAACCATACAAAACGAGAGCCAACATGGGAGTTGGAAGAGGGAGCTAGGGAGAGATATCTATACCTATTTGATGTCCAAGGTATGCCAAGTTTAGAGGGCTAAACTCTTTTAAGGGGGAGAGGATGTAATACCTAAGGATTTATTTCTTAATATTTAAATAAATTATTTAAGCTCTTGAAGGATGTATATGTGATAGGATTAAATATGGGGTTAAAATTATAATGAGATGAGGAACATAGGGACTAAATTTATAATAATAGTTAGGGACTAAGTAGCAATATTTCTTTTTTGAAAAGAAACCCTAAACAAATTCAAGTTTTGGTAGTTTCAGTTTTTGCGTTCTTTTATAGGAGCAGGATCATCTTCTTTCTCTCACCAGCAAGGGGGAAATTGCTCTAGGGATTTGCCATACTAGACTAAAATCCAAGGTAAATTGCCTTCTAAAACTTGAAATATTTAGGAATTTGGAATGAAGAGAATGGGTTGAGAAATTGATTTTACTCTTGGTTTTGGAATTGAGTTTTAAATTGTGAATTTAGGTGGCGTGAGGAATTTTCAAGGGAGAAATTATTTTTTAAGGTTGTTAATTTCTAATAGTGTATGTTGGAATGGTTGGGTTTACGGACGGGACGACAATGGCATGGTTATGGAATTTTATCATGCAAATGCTTGATAAGAAAAGGATAAATTTTACTTGGCAATTGAATTATGTATACTTTATGTTCATTTAGGTTTCAAGTAGCAGTGTGGAATTGCATTTTAAGAGATAATTATTGAGGTAAATAGTTATACCCTCTGGTGTTTTTCAAAGTAAATTGATAGATTTAAATGGGTTTGTCCATTTTTGATTTATTCATATATTTATTTATTTATTTTTTACAGAATGACTTTTTATTAAAGATTTTTAATGATGGAATGAGATGATTTGTGGACCAAGCATAATATTTTTATTTAAGTTTGAGATGAAATTGTGGCCATGTGGAGGTGGCTAATTTAAATTTGTTTTTCTCCTATATTATTGAAATGGTTATTTTTGGAACGGTTTCTTTTGTTTGTCCTGTCTGTATGGTTCACCCTTGCGAGGGTTGAGTTGTTGGTATTGTGATAGACCCGAGATCTATGGATTGTGACTTGTGGATTATGGATTGTGGATTGTGGATTATGGATTGTGGATTGTGGATTGTGGATCGTGTATTGTGGATTGATGATTGAGTATCATTGATCATGGATAGTGGATTGTTACACAGCCATAAGGAACGAAAAATGAAATATTCTAGTTTCAAGGAAAGAATTGTATTTTTATATCATTTCATTTTCAATAAAAAAAATCAGTTTTAAATTTTTATGCTTGGTTGAGATGAACGAGCATACTACTTACGGAGTTCTTAAACTTACATTTTCAAAATTTCATCTGATTTCAGGGGAAGAAGTATGAGCATGGGGTTTTGTATAGGAATTGAGAGATCGTTAGAATAAATTGGTAGGAATTTAGCAATAGCTCAATTGGAAGCTTATTTGATTTTATGGAATAAGATATTAAGCACTTTATGTTTTGGTTAAGAGGTTTGATCTTATTATTTGGAGACTATTAAGATTTGTTAATGGAATTGTTTATTTTCAAGTCGTTAGGCTACAATAGAACTATATGGGAGATTGTTTTGATATACTGGTAAATGGCCTTACACATTTATAGGGTTACCCTATAGATGTGTGGCATTTGTTATGCCCAAACTTATGGGTTAGGTCGTGACAGTTAAGGTTACTATAATTGTAGTTAATTTAGAAAATAGTTATTCCAATTATCACTATGTTAACTACTTTTAATTTTGAAACTAAAAAATGGCAGATTTTTTGTAACTATTGCTTATTAGTTAATTGATAGAATTATAAACCAATATTATTAATGAGATTAAAAACAATTGATAAGTATTATGTAAAAAAATTGAGAAACTTTGGTGACCATAACAATTATGGCCATCAATCGTTTACAAATATGATTATAACCAATTTGCACCCAATGTGTGAATGGAACAAAATTGAAATGTGGGTTTTACAAAGAAAACCTCTTTTCAATTTATTTGGCCATCAAAGGGCTAGGATAAAGAAAAAAAAAAAAAGAAGAAGAAGAAGAAACCAATACCAAAAATCTAAAAAAAAAAAAAAGGAAAGACAAAAACTAGAAGATTGGAACTTCAAATGGAACTTCCAATGGTGATAGCACATGCATGAATAACTATTAATATTTCAAACAAATGTGAACATCACAGTAAAATTTTTAGGTGGGAATTGCATGAGGGTTAAAAGGTCCCAAATGTTCCTCTATATGAAATTTAAGGGTGAAGTCAATTTGGTTTACACCTCAAATGGAGGGAGTATTGAGATTAATATGATTTTCAATACTCGAGGAAAGACACGTGACATCAATAAAAGGCAATGGAGGACATGAGGCAAAACTCATAGTAGAAGGTATAAATTGTGATTTTCCTCAAAGTAGAGGGGCGACAATTGCATTAACCCTAGGAAAAGCACCACTGACTGAAGTAGTTGGTCAAATGGCCGTTGCTTAGAATACTATCCCAAGTTTACTGTTCGATTCAAGGGGATTAGTATCCCCCATGTCCCCTACTAACTTATGAAATTTTGTTATAATATTAGCCTTGTAAAAAAACATTATTAATAAAAATTTAGGAAAAACCAACGTTAAAAAAGGGAGCAGCATCGAAGTTAACCCACTAAAAATAAATAGAGATTTGAAATCCAAACCCTTCCTTTCCTCCATCGACTGGGGTCATCACGAGTTGATTAGTCGTGAATGATATGGTGAAAAGTGGAACCTCATCCTCATACAACCAACAACCCATCTTTGCACAACTAGGGATCATGTTGCTAGAGATTAAAACGATCGTGATAAAGAAGGCATTAGCGGCCTTTTCGTGGGTGGAGATGATACGCTTTGAGGCAGTCCTCCATAGACATTATAGAGATCAGTCACTAATCCCAGAGGTACTGCACCCATAGTACCCATATATGAGGGTGCTAAAGCCACATTTGTATAGACTTTTGGCATCATTGATGGCAGTGCTGTGGTGTGTGATAGTGAGCTATACTGTGGGTATTAAGCTCAACATCGCATGCTTGAAGTAGGTACTTGGATTGAACAAGCCCATGAGTGAAGCACAACTTACGACATGGGCCAATCTCATGCGGTTCCTTCAATGGTTACTTCCTTTTTCATAGTAGGAGAACTATGTTCGGGACCAAACTGACTGCCTTCTCATGATTTGCAACATGAAGATGCATGTTAATGCCCAAGGAAAGGTAGAGTACAACCCTAGGGTGCATGAGGTAATTCATTTAAAGATCTCCATTGTAATACCCCAAAATTTATAGAGCATTAAAGTGAGTTAGGGACCTAATTGTGAAGAAATATTATTAATGAACTTAATAGTAAAATTTTCAAAGTTCAGGGACTAAAAAGAAAGGAAGATGAGATAAGGATCAGCTGCTTTCCTTTTTCTTTTTTTTCTTTCTTTCTTTTCTTCCTCATCAGACCCGCGTGTTTCTGCTCCTCTTCCTCCCGGCCCCCTGCAACCCGACGAGCTCCCCAGCCACCGCCACCCATTTTCGGCCAGGAACACCGGTGAAACTGGGGGATTTCTCCTCCTTTTCTTGTTCTAGAACACCTATTAAACCCAAGAAACTCCCAGATCTGCTCTGCTCTTCTTCCCTTGTCCGCGAGCTGTTTCCATTGGGTGCAATTTCTGGGCTTTTTCGAGTAAGCCATAGCCATGAAATTCATCCTCTCTCTCTTAATTTGGCTTGGGTTACTCTAATTTTGTTGTTGGTTCTTGAATTTCTGGAGTTTTGCCGTGAATTCCCTCCAAAATCCCGTCAGCTTCCATGTTCGCCGGACCCAGCTTTTGCTTGCCGGAAAATTCTAGTAAGTTGACAACCTCCATTAAGTCCGAATTTTATCCAATTGGTTGTTGCCTTTGCTGAATTTGGTCCTTGTTGTGGCTGCTCTGTGGTGTCCGAATTTTGCTGGAAAATGGGGGAATTTCGGTAGCTTTAAGTGGGTTTTGTTTAAATTAAGTGGAAATTAACTTGAGTAATTGTTGTGAATTTGTCTAGAGAAAATCCCGTGTGTTTTAGCCACTGTTTTGCCAATTTTGGAAGTTGAAGTTACTGTTTATGGGTACTGTTCATGCACTGATGGCCAACAATTAACGGGGATTTAAATGTTTAGTTTGTAATATAAGAATAAATTTGGAGAGGTCCAGTCATGTGGAGATTGATAGAAATAGCACTGTGATTAAGGGTAGTGCTAATGATGATTTCACTTTGAATTTGTGGTAGTGCGGTATTAACTTTGGAATATTGTGATTAGGTTTTGATCATTTTGTCATTTTGTCACCATAGCACTTGGGTTAAGCCTTCTGTTCTGAGCGAGTGAGGTAAGTAAATTATGGTAAAACTCTTTGATTTCAAAGCATGTTTTAAATTGTTTTTGAGATAGTGGTAAGGTTTAAATTGATTTCAAATTGATTTTATTAGCATCTGTGATTAAACTGAAATGAAAATTGTGATGATTTTTATGAAAATTATTATTTTCTGGAATTGAGCATGATTGGAATGAAAATGAGAATTTCATTGTTTTTCTAGAGTTAAGCATGCCCACATGAAATTATTTTCATTGGCATTGAGTAGAGCATGCCTATTTGGAATTGACTGAACTGCTTTGATGAACTGAGAGTTTTGTAAATTATGAGTTTTTCTGTTAAATCCATGCTCATATGGAAATTTTTCGGTTTATTTTTGAAATGGGAGATTGATTGTGAATTATGGATTTTTTTGTAAATCCTGGATGGTTTTGTGTCTGATATAGTGATGATTACTGACGCCCACTAGTGGGAGTTGCAAACGCTAGCACATGTCGACATGTATTTCTGTAGAACCGGTTCATCCTGCCAATGGGGTTAAACATTGGTAATTACTGACGCCTGCTAGTGGGAGTTTGTTAAACACTGATACCATTACTGATGCCTGCCAGTGGGAGTTTGTTAAACACTGATACCATTACTGATGCCTGCCAGTGGGAGTTTGTTAAACACTGGTACTACTGACACTTGCCAATGGGTGAATACGTTGGTAATTACTGACGCCTGCCAGTGGGAGTTTGTTAAACACTGGTATTTCTGTAACCCTACCAATGGAGTTAAACATTGGTTATTACTGACGCCTTCCAGTGGGAGTTTGTTAAACACTGGCCATGACTTATAGATGAAACTACTGAACTGAATTTTCTTTTGCACTAACGGTTTGTCATGAAATGTTTTGTTATTGAACTAAATCTGATTCTACATTAAACGGTTTTGTCATTGAACGCTTTGCTATTGAACTGAATTTGATTCTGCATTAACTGTTTATCAAGCATGCTAAAATTTTACCTAAGGGCTATCCATATTTACTTACTAAGTTATCTCATAGTTTTCCTTGTCCACCATTTCAGGAAGTGAAACCGAGAACGGGAAAACCAAGGGGAGTGACGAGGTAGAAGGCTAGCCATTCTAATTGGATATAAGTTTTAGATTTTATTTTTGAGATTTTGTGATTTGAATAAGTTTCGAGCTTTGTGCATTTGTGGGACTCGTCTCACGAGTGCACGGTGTCTGCCATGTCCTCGGATTTGGGTTATGAGGCGTGACATCCATTTATACAATGAGGGATGAGTTTGGAAATGTAAAGTGGGCGGTAATGTAGAAGATATGAGCAACCAACAACGAATAGTATACTTGGTGATTAGAGTGGGGTGCAGTTGATCGAGATGGACCATGGCATAAGTTCAATAAGGGGTACGCATTGCAGCTTCTGCCACGCTTTTGGGATTCGTACATGGGATTGAGTGTCTACAACATAGGCATCACGTGGCAATATTCCTATGTGGTGCGGGGTTTTGACCAATAGTGCCGAAGGTTATTGAACCAATATCCATAATTCGCAATTTTGCTGCCAAACAACGAACCTTCGCCCTCTGATAGGGATGCCTACAGGCCATGGCCATCTAGGTGACAAAAGTATCTAGTTAGCCATGCAATAGAATCAACAATGGATCATGTGCGGGTAAGAATGTTAACAAAGGGACCTAGTTTAATTAGCATAAGTTAAGTAGGAATGTAATTAAAATAACAACGTCAATAACTGGGAACGGTTAATTTCTATTTTTTATTAAATGCCAAGAAAAAGTTTTTTTTTCTAAAGAATACAAAGGGGTTAATTTCTACATTATTGTAGTTATTATTTTAAAATGTTAATAATTTTATGTTTGTATCCATTTTCAGGTAGCAAGAGGGCGGATCCGACACTTAATGGAGGTAAGCAGTGGTGAGGTTAAGTATTTGTGCTTTGTGTTGTTGTGTAAATATGTGTCGTAGGTAGCAAGGGTCAACAAGGTTGGACATGGAAGTGGTCCGGGGGGGAAGGGTGTGCTTTGCTTCATGTGTTGGGGCCCTTTTGTTGACTTTATATATATATATGGTGTAAATATGTGAAAGACATCGTTACCTCTATCACTATAAATCTTTTATTTTTGAACTTCTCATTTCTTTAAATTAAGTTGTACGTGTTGTGGAATTTGAAGCTGATTTAACAAAGTAGATGATGGACATAGAAAAAGGTAGGAAATTGAGCTCATTGATGGTGTGTAACAAATATTAAATAAACAAGGGGATACCGACTGATGTGGTATCCCCATCCAATAAAAGGGTGATAAAGAATTAAATTAATAAATCTCATCATTTTTCATTAAATACAATTCTTTGAAATGCATTTAATAGAGCAAGTTTCCATTAGATGCTCAAAGCTTTTCTCTCCTCTTCGTCCACGGTTTACTCTTTCATTGTCTCAGCTCAGTTTTCTGTCTTCTCTAAATTTTGGCCACTCTTCAACAAAATTTCTAATCCATGATAATAAATGGAAAGAAGAAATCATTGTAAATTTATGTCTATTCATTAATTGCACCTTTTAAAATCAACTTTGAAATTGGTAAACCAAAATTGAAAGGAATCTTTGGCCGCTTGGCCCTCTTCTACATTGTTGTTTCTCTTTCTTCATTCTTCTTTGAAGACAGAAATGAAGAAAATATATTTTCTTAGTAACAGAAACTTTATTTGATGGTCCAAAAGGGGAAAAGATAGGTGAGAAGAAGGAAATCTAGGGTTTTGATATGGTTGGAAAGGAAGATAGTGTTTAAAAAAAAAAAAAAGAAATAAAGGTAGAAGTTGCTTGGAGTTCATCCTTCAATCCCTTGAAAAAAATATATAGAAGAAGATTTACAAGATACTACAATTTCAAACGAGTTACTATTGAACATTAGTCAAAAAATAAAGCTAGCATCAAATTTATTTCCACTTCTTGATGACTCCAAAGCATCTATACCAAAAGTTAATTACCGAAGTTATATATGAATCTTCTAGAGTTTAGAATGAAGATTTACAAAGTAATTTGATGTAATAGGCTTGGAATAAAAAAGAGTAAGGTGACTGCAAGTATCTCAATGGAGGAGGAAGACAAAAAGGACAAGGATGAAGGCAAGCAAATGACATAAATAGGAGGAGGAAGGCATATAACGTTGAGTGTTAATTTCGCGGACGACAACATCATTACATGGGTAGCTATAATTAGTTTGGGATACATCATGCGTGGTATCAGGTTTAGGAATATAGTTGACTCTCACGAGGTTGTGCAATGGATATGGGTAGAAACATAGTAATTAAGTAAAGTTATGTGAAAAAGGCGTAAGTGGAATATTGCGAGGGTGTGCAATGGATATGGCTAGAAACATTAGGATAGTCATGCAAGACATGCAATACTTCTTCACAACTTGAGTGTGTGGCCATTGGTTTTGGTATATGAGTATGTTTTGGGAAAATATATAGAAGAACAATTAATTCAAGTCGATTATCGGTACCCTAACAAAATTGGGGAAAGAATTGGATAAAGTGGCATTGCAAGTGATATGTTGAGTGAATTGAAAAGGTTTAATTATAAAACATGTGTAAAGAAGTTAACATAGTTTTCATATCATTTTCTTCTCCCATTCTATATATTTTATGTGCATACAGAATTGATCGTATTAATTGTAATAGCAATGTTGATTTCACTTTGTGAAAGGAACGAAGTTTAGGTACCCTAAACACCAAAGTGTAATAATTAGGGGAGTTAGTAGATAATTTAACAATTAAAATGCTTATTAAGAGTGCAAACTTACTTGATAATAACTCTTTTTAACCACCAATTTTAATAAATAGTTGCTGTAACCTGCTCAGGCCACTAAATCCTCCATCCGCAAAATCGGTTATTAATAATAATATTTATTTTTTTCAATTTTTGTAGAATTGGCATTACTTTTTACAATCTTAGATATTTAATTAATAGATAATATAATAATTAAATTGTTAACTCCAGTTGAAGTTCAATCATCATTACTGATTGAAGAAATACATTTACATACAGCTACTAAAACATCAAAAATAAATTGAGTAAAAAATATTTATAAATAATAATTTTTCAATAAAAATATACATTGAAAATTATTAAAAAAGAATGAGTCAATCAGTAATATATAATAACATTATGTGTGAGGTTTTAATATTGTAAATAATATGTTAAGTTCTATTCAATAAAAAATTAAAGTAAATGCAAGTTGATTTATAGATAAAGACAAATATTTAAAAAAAAAATCAAATAAACACATTAATATAAAGCATAAATTTGGTATGAAAAGATAGTTATTAAAGGAAGGCAGTAGCCTTTTGAAATGACTAGGGCAATGTATGATAAGACATGTATTAAAAGTGAGTTGGTTTATGTTGGTGAAAAGCTTGGTGCAAACAGATAAGAGGGAACAAAGGAAATGGTGTGGGGTTAGGCCACATTTAGCCGGTTGGAGAAAAATAGTAAAATTTTAACCAATAGGAAAGTCAATAACAAGGAGTTATAGTTCAAAGGCAGTTAAAACTTATAAAAAAATGTATTTAATATGTGGCTAAAATTATAGTCAAGTTAAGATTGGAAGGAGTTGGAATAGTACAGTGATATTGAGAGCATAACATGATGAGGAGAAAATAAAAGGAAGAAGAAGAAGTAGAAAGATAACATGACTCGATGATGAAATCACTTAGTACTAGGTAGTAAAACTATAGAATGATGTATTTAATGTGTAACCTTATACTATAGTGAAGTATAGATTTGAAGGAATAGGAATAGTAAAATGTTGTGGAGAGTATAGCATGATGATTCATGCAGGGCAAAAGATGCATTTCATCCAATGTACATAATCAATGAATGTGGAAAGTTAGCCCCTATACTTTAAACCATAGCAAATCAGGCCCTCTACCTCACAATATCTACAAAACAACCCTTTTACTGAGAATGATGTCAGCCAATCGTTAACCCCTTCCATTGCTAGTTGCAACCTGATGAGGTGGTGGTCCCTCATTCTGACTGCTTTATATGAAGGAAGGCATTTTTTTGGCTTATAATACTTTAAACATTATATATGAAAGGTATATTAATACCTCATAAACTATTACAAATTTTTTTCATTTGTATTTTTAGAATCAAAGTATAAGTAATATATTTTATTTAGTAGTTAATAGAAATATATTTAAAATTAACATTTTTGGTATTATTAGTATTATATAAATTCTTGTAATGAAGTAATTAAGAAATTTTCTAGCCTATATGTTAACTAAATAAGTTAAATGTTAAAAAAAGTAATAAATATAATAAATTTGTAAAAACTTTAATATAACTAACATTAAAATAAAATATAAAATGTGATCATTACAAAATTAAATTTATATACTCAAAGAATATAACAAGAAATGAATTTGATACGAAAATATATATAAATTTAATTAAAATTACTTAAATTTATGACCCTTAACTTGTATATTTTCAATAGAAATTACAAAACTTTATTAATTAATTCATTGAAACATTGAGGTTTTAATATATTATAATAATTTTTAGGAAAAAACTTAAACATAGGCCCGACTATATAAAAAGACCGTACTATTAAAAATAACCCACTTTGCCCATACACAACTACCATTTAGTAATCAACTAATCAAATTGGATATACTTTAGCATGCGATTCCTTTAATTTTATTATAGATGGATAAGTGCATAAAACTCGACATTTTTTTGATTGAGTAAGATATAGCAAGGATTTATAATAAATGAGACAAATTTAAATTGTCAACATTGTTCGCAATTAATTTTACCCAAAAAAAAAAATTTAACATATATTTCTCATAATAAATTCATAAAAAATTTTTAAAATATTTTAGGTTTTTAAAATTCAATAATTAAAATTTGTAACATCAAGTTAAGGTAACTTTAATATTTTGAAGAAATAGTAATTCATTTAAATATTTTAAAAACCAAAACATAAACACCTAATATTTCATATAACTTTATTATATAAAATTGGCATATAAATAAATCTAAACTCATCTTCATAATGAGTTAATAATCTCATTAATTTTGAAAAGATAAAATAAAAAATAACATATTTTCAAACTAAGGGACGACAACCTTTTTGTTAATAATTTTGACATAACATTAAAAACCTATTTACTTAACCATGTCATCAAACCAATAGCTGAAGAAATGCTTCAAATCAATATAATCAATTTTATTCAACTGTGAATCTTTCATGATTTTTACAAAGAAATAATTTGTAAACAATATATTAATTTACATTAATTAATAATATTTCAATTTTCAAATAATCAGATGTATTTATTTTATATCCGAGTAGTCCTTTTCAATTTTTGTACCTAAAAATTGGCTTCTCAAGTCTAAACCTACTACATACAAATGTAGACTTCCGCAAAAATAACGATTAACTAAGGTCAAGTGAATTGGTCCTCCTTAGCTTCTACCCAATCAATACCACTTCATCAGTCTTTAACGGTCAAAGGAAGGACATAACAACTGAATGATGTCATTGTCACTAAAAGGCCTGTTTTGTAGACATCTTCAACTTAGGGCATAGTCCTATGGTTTAATGTACACAAAGTGAAATGCCACAAGATTGCAAGTGTAGGGGCTAAATTGCATCTTCTGCCTTGATAAAGAGAAAAAACAGGGAAGAAAGATAAGAACAAAGACAAAAAAAATGCGATGACAATATGAGTAAGTAGTAGGCAGAAAGGGATAATGAGGCCTTGTTATCTGTACATAGCGGGAAAGCATCACAGTAACAATAAAAAAAAGGTTGGTAATTAGTAGAAAGTTGGTATAGTTGCTTCAACAAAGGAAATTACTGCTTAGGAATTGAACTATAAACATCATGGTAAAAGGGAGAATAACGATAAGAGGAGTCTCATAAACCATATGAACCCAAAATTCAAGAGGATTAAGACTGAGTGGGGATGTGGCCATTCAATGCCACGTCCTGAGTCATAAAGGCAATAAATAAGGGGTAAAAAACTTAAACAAATGCAACATATACCCTATAATTAGGTATTACCTCACCTCTCACCTTTATGCCATAAACTCGTCAAGGATAAAGAAAAATTTC